TCTAATCTGATTTATGCCAATTAAAAACTTATTAACAAATATATCCTAGTAAGAATGATATATTACAAATATATATGTAAGGTTATACAAGTAACACAAGGGTAAACAAACTATTAAAGTGATAGGGCAATATAAACAACAAGAAATTGACAAAAGTGATATAAATGATAAGCACGAATATAAAAGAACGTCAATGACAAACGCAAACAAATGATATGATCACGGAGTTCGGTCCCCACGACCTACGTCTCTGCTCCTCACCTTGAGGAGATCTCTACTATTACAACCGGGTTTTCTACGCTCACCCGAATAATGTTTATACCTCACACTCGGTTTTCTAGTTCATCAAAAACTTTACAATCTCACACTCTTGCAATCCCACTTTACACCCTCTAAGTGTTGGTCTCTAGCCCGTGTCTCCCCCAAGTGTTAGGAATTATAACCTATTTCTAGGCATTACTACCTACCCCACTCCTCTTGGGACGATCTCGTCTCTCACCACACACTTCTCTCGGCGTACAAGTGTATTACAAAGTAATATCACAATTAAGCATACTACAACAAATGGTTGTTCTCTAAATTAGGATGAGAACATAATGAAGCTCACACTCTCAGTCACGAACCCACAACTCCAAATTATACTATGAATATAAATATAATAAGCTCAATAGGTTGTGTGTGAACAAAGAGATAAATTAAATCAAACTAAACTCAAATAAATTCTAGCTTAATGGAAATGAAAATTAAACATATAAAATAGCTAGATTGAGTTTAAGAAAACTTCTCTATATGATAACAAGAGAGAAGGAGAAGAGTTGAATGCTTAAACACCAATGGATGATCTCATCTAGCTTTTGTGAAATTATCTTCACAAACCGAAACTTAAAAAATGCTTAAAAGCTTTTTAAACCAACTTAAACCAAACTTAAACAAACTTTTAAACCCTTGTAAAACTCTCTTACAACATTCTCTTGAGTAGCCTCAGAAGTATGAGGGCATTGGGTATATATAGGCTCATGAAACAACCCCAAAAACCAAGAGAAAATATCACAAAAAGACAAAAAAATAAAAACTAAAAATTATGGAAAACTAGCAGTTATCATGCCATCGGTCGACTGATAAGTCTATTGATGACCTCATCAGTCGACTGGTCAGTCGACCAGAACTAAAGCAGACAGTTTCAGATTTTGACAGAGTTCTAGAATTTTACGTATCTGGTTTTGTAAAATTAATTAAAAACAATAAATTAACTCTAAAAATCATGAAATTTTGAGAGAAGTATCTAAACATATAGAAAAGTATGTTAAAGAAAGAATTTATTAAATATAACTTTCCATTTATGAGAAATAATTATTTAAACACATATATTACAGTTTCTAAAAACTACTAAAACACCCAATTTTGTAAAATCAATTTGATACAGTAAATCAACTCCAAAAATCATGAAATTTTGAAGAAAGTTTATAAACATGTATGTAAATATGTTAGAGAAACAATTTTGTAAATATCACTTCCTATTTGAGATAAATAATTTATTTTGTAAACTGGTCAAAAACCAAAAATCTAGAAATTGTACAAAACTAGCCGTTGTGAGGTTATCAGTCGACTGATGATCTCGTCGGTCAACTGATGACCTCATTAGTTGACTAATTAGTCAACTTAATAAGAAACAGAGACTTTTTGATGATTTCAGGTATTTTCATCAGTCGACTGATCAGTTGACTGATAACAGGTTTTCAACCTGATTTAAACAGAAAAACTAAACTTTGAAGTACCTTTAAAAATAGCAAATAAATTCCAAAAAATATAAAACTTTGAAAAATGATTGTAAACATGATAATAAATATGTTACAAAAAGAATTTTTAGAATTATACTTCACATTTGTAAAATATTATCGTTTTGAAAAACTTAGTCAAAACATGAAAACATGAAACACTTGTTTTTGTCATTTTGATTTAAATTTTTTTTGAAACTTTATAAAATAATTTTATAGACTTAATAAAATATATATAAACTGATATTGAAGTCTATAAACTAATAAAACAATGTTTTCACAAAAACATCTATATTTTGATAAAATCAATAAATACGTGTGTGTGATTAATATGAGCTTGAAGTATTAACACATAAGTATAAATCTATACAACAAACACTATAAACAATATACCAAAGCTTGAATGTCTTCAATATAGCTTGACTTGATAAACTTATGGATGAAGCTTTAACTTGGATCTTCAACTTGAATTGTAAGGATTCATACCGATATTCCCACCAACCCCAATTGGATATGATCGTGAATGCTTGATTCCATCCATCCTCCAACACATTATTTGTCTATAATAAATAAGAAAACATAAATACTAGATAAACAACATTAGTAGTAAATTATTTGTTACAATATCATCAAAACAAAAGGGCTAACATGACTAAGCTCCAAATGTCGCAGTCTAGTCGAATCAACAGAAGTCGCCAGCTCTCTACCCGTCACCGAACTTCCAATCAAATAGTACATGTTATTCCTCCTGACGCATTTCATCACAATCAAAGAGTCTTCCACAATCTCGAGAACCATGTCCCCAACATGAACCTTTAACCCTCTCCAACCAAAGCTCCAATTGAGATCAAGGTCTTCCTCAAGGAAGGAACATATCTCACACCATATAACTCCCTAACTGTCCCGTCAAACATCTTGATGCGAATTCTTCCTATCCTAAGGATCTGGCATGCATGATTGTCACCCATGTACACCACACCACTATCCAGCTTCTCAAAACTGGAGAACCATTCCTTTCTAAGACACACATGATAGATCACACTACTATCCAAAATCCACTCGGATTCCTCCGAATAGCTACCTGTAGGACTGATAGAAAGCGAATAAATAGAAGTATCAGAAATATTATCATCCAATATAACGACATTTTCTTCTGATGATGGTTGCTTCCCTTTTCCCTTCTGCTTATTCTTCATCCATTCATCGAGCTTTGGACAATCTTTTTTCCAATGATCAGTCTCCTTGCAATAAGCACACTGATCTTTTCCAACTGTAGGATGCCCTACTCTAGACTGTGACTTCTAATTCTTTCGGTTTGGATTCTTCTCTCTTGCGACCAACGCCTCTGCTACTGTGTCACTTGTAAACTCCTTATCTTTCTTTTGAAGCTGATAGTTCACAAGTGCAGCAGTGACCTCACTATATAAAAGAGATGCCTTCCCATTGATAAGAGTAAGGACGAAAGTCTCATATTCCTCATCATGCAAGGAACTCAACAACATTAATACCTTATTCTCATCTTCAATCATAACATCTACATTCGTCAAATCCGCAAGAAGCTTCGTGTAGTGGTTCATGTGATCACCAATGGAGGTTCCTTTCTTCAATTGGAAGCGATAAAGCCTCCTTTTCAAATGCAAGCGATTCTCCACACTCTTGGTCAAATACTTGCTCTCAAGGATCTCCTAAATCTTCTTAGTTCAAATGCAAGCGATTCTCCACACTCTTGGTCAAATACTTGCTCTCAAGGATCTCCTAAATCTTCTTAGCTGAAGTCTCATTGATCACATCATACTTTAAATCTTGAGTCAAACAAGACCTAATCACACCACACATCGTTCGCTTTATCTTCTTCCAAACCCTCTCATCAATATCATTTGGCTTGCCATCTAATTCCAAAGTATCTTCCAAATTTGACGCGTTGAGCGCATCTAAGACTTTACATCGCTAAAGTCCAAAATTATTAGTGCAATTAAACTTCTCCACGTCTATCTTCATACAGTGAATATTCAAACTTTGGACGGTCTTCACACCTGAAGTACTCTCCACAACTCCTTTCCCGGCCATAATTCCTCAAAACACCAACAACCAAAGCGGAACAAACGAATAATAGATTCAAAACTGAGAAAATATAGAATTTTTACCAAAAAATCCCACCTTTAACTCCAAAGAAGCCATAGCCGAACTTCCAAAGTGATCTACTCCTCCAAATTGCCCAAGCGTAACCTGAGCTCTGATACCACTTGTTGTGTGCTGTGGAATAAACTTAAACGCCGAGAGAGAAAGCCAAAACAATCCAAAATAACGACACTAACTCAAACATAAAAGTTTAACGTGGTTCGGCAAATTGCCTACGTCCATGGGGCAAAAAAGGATGAGTTTCCACTATAGAGAAAGAGAGTACAAAGTAGAGATTACAAGATCACTCAACTAACCTCTCAAACAAATCTCTCAAATATCTCAAACTAAACCCTCAAACAAATTGCTCAGAAAGATCTCTCTTTTCTATGCTCAAAATCATCTTCAAGCTACCTAATCAATCGATAGAAAGCCCTAAAAAACATAGCTCTATTTATAACAAAACACAATCCCAAACAGATTAGGATTCTAAAAACAAGTCTGTCAGGGTGTGGCACACACCACACCCATGACAAACAGGGCAGATTCTGTCACACTAGGATGTGGCAGACATCACACTCATCGTAAACAAGACAAATTCTGCCACATCCTACCACCTGGGTGTGGCAGACACCACACCAGGGTGTGGTGGAGTCTGTCTTGCTTATTTTTTACGTTTTTCTTAATTCTTTTCCTCAATTCCTTCGTCGTTTTCACAATAAGCACATAATACACACAACATATAATATTTGTTATCATCAAAACAAACTAATCTTAGAGTCAAGATTCCTAACAAATATATAGCATATGTTCAAGCATCCACTTACAAATCTCTGATTTCTCCAACCAATCACAAGAGGACACTAAAAAATCTCAAAAAAAAAAACATGCAAATCAAAACGACTTTCATAAATTTTTTGCACTTTTAAAACACTGAAAAAGAAAATCTCTTTCCGAAAACGAGTATTTACACTTTTAAAATATATATTGAAAGAAGAAGCCCGAAGAGACCGATCCCAGCCACGAGAAGTACGAAGACAGGTACGGCAGAAGCTGGAGCAGCAATCCAAACAAAAACCGCAATTTTGTCGTAGGATGATCAAGCACTTGCACATACAATGCAGGGCAGTTCTTTCATTATCACGGTCATAATTGTTACTAGAAAACAGACATCTTATAACCATTCAGTCACCCCAACAAGCTAGGTGAGAAATTACCCAATGAATGAAATATTGAATTAATGTCAGCCGAAGCAATCAATGAAAACAACCCTTTGAGCACAGTAGCACTTCTGCTACGGTTTCTGCTTTTTCATACAACAAAAAATTAAAAGGGTATTCCCCTAAAATAAAAATAATTTAAAAAAAAAAAAAAACTGCCCCCTCTTTCCAGTCTTTACTTCATCTCCTCCCCGCTACTAACTCGGCCCCCGCGAAAAAAAGAGCGACCCCTGAGACAGTCCTCCAGGCCTCCGTGAGTCGACAAATATTCCACCTAGAAAGTAAACCACAAAACAACCATTATGCCACTAATTGGAAATTAACAAGTAATCGCAATCAATTGAAAAAGAAAAATTTTATTTGCTTGCCTTGCATTGGAGGGAGCAGTAGAAGAACTGATCGCGGATGTTGAACCCGCAGTTTCGGCAGAGTGGGCCTCCCCGTCCACGGCCCTGGCCACGCTCCTTGATTACCACCACCGAATAGCCGCCGCGGTGCTTATAAGTCTTATAAATCGTATAAATTAATTACTAAAAAAAGAACTCAAACAAAACTTGAAAAATAAAACTCATAAATCGTCACTACCCTAATACCAAGGAAGGCAGCAATAATCAAACTGAACAGTAACACGTAAAAACATCAATTTATTAGTAGTATTTTTACCATGATACGAGCTGGGTCGATAAACCTATTCAAATGTTCCACTCGGACCTGGCCACCTTGTTGCGCATAAACCTTTTATCAAGAAAATAGTATATACATCACCAGAAACAGTGAGAAGTTTTCCTGGTCATTTAAATTTTGTTTATGTTCAAGAAAAAGGGAGACCAAACCTGAAGAGTTTGATTTTGATGTCCGAGATGAACAAGCTCTGCAACACAATCGGGGCAGCAGCTGACTAAGCATTTGAAACAAAAGTAGCTCCTCTTTAAATTGGTACCGTTGTTGCATGTACAATGAGCAAAGAATATCTCATTGATAAACCTTCTAAGAATTTCTAGGATCCCTGCTACTTGATTCCCCATCTGCAAAAGAAGAACTCAAGTTCTTCAAAAGCCCATCAAAATTTATTGACCAAAATGACAGAATTCATCAGGAAATTAAAAACAGAAAAACCTGCCATTTTTAAACCCTTTTTATTTAAAATCAATTTCATAGAAAACCAATTTTCTTCGAAATCTATACACCAGTGTTCATCAAGACACTGACAAGAAAGAATGGTCAACATGAGAGAGGACGCATAATTAATTGTTGTATTTCATGTGGAATATTATGAATAGAGTTAATTTGTCACACCTGTCCAACCCGAGGTTGAGGCCTATGATGAGTAGGAAAGCCTAGACGGTTATGGGCAGGATTAGGATGACCGGGAATAGGATGCTCCGGAGGAGTAGGCATAGTCGGCAGTGAAGAAATATTTGACGGGATTTGTCCATTATGCTGTATAGAAGGAGAAAATTTCTGGGCCTGAGGTGCCATCAGAGTGGACAATGGTGGTTGCCAACTAGGTGGTTGCCAACTACTAGAAGCGTAATTCTGAGCCTGAGGTTCCATCAGAGTGAATGGAGGAGCGTGCCAACTACTAGAAGAAGCGTAATTCTCAGGCTGCACTCTACCAGGCATATACACTGGAGTGAATGGTGGTGGTTGCGGACTACTAGAAACATAATTCTGCGCCTGAGGTGCCATCAGAGTGAACGGTGGTCGTTGCCAACTATTAGAAGAAGTGTAATTCTCAGGCTGAACTATACTAGGCATAGATATCTGAGTGGAAAAGGGGATTTGTCTATGTTGCTGCTGCATAGGTACATTACTGATTTGTCCCCGATCATTTCTAGCTAATGATGACTGAGCCATTGGAGTGGACTTCGGGGGCTTCCAACCAGGAGTAGGCATAGCCCACGGGACATGTTCATGTTGCTGCTGCTGCATAGGTCTAGTACTCATCAGGTTAGGTCCAGAACCAGAGAATTGGAAATTATATTCTTTAATAGATGTGGTCGACTGATAAGCTATCGAAGTGGACAATGGTGGTTGCCCACTACTAGAAGCAGAAAAATTCTCAGGCTGAACTGCACTCGGCATAGATATCCGAACGGACAAAGGGATTTGTCTATGTTGCTGCTGCATAGGTAATGTACTGATTTGTCCCTGATCATTTCTAGCTGATGATGACTGAGCCATTGGAGTGGACTTCGGCGGGTTCCACCCAGGAGTAGGCATAGTCAACGGGATAGCTTCGTGTTGCTGCTGCTGCATAGGTCTGGTACTCATGAGGTTAGGTCCAGAAGCAGAGAATTGGGAAGTATATTCATTAATAGATGTGGATGACTGAGCCATTGGAGTACTAGAATTCTGATGGGTATAATATCCTTGAGATTCAGAACCGCCCTTCCTCCGCTTCGCTGGCAATGGGTCAGAATTGTCTGAATCTAAGTGGAGGAATTGGGCCTCGGCAGCGAACATGTCATAGGTAATATGATGGGGTTGGCGTTGATGAGGATTTGGAAGGTTTCCAGCACTCTCCGTGGGCTGCAAACTAGAGGCTGGCATCAGTCCCCTCTCATCTGTAAGTTCCTTAATCGTTTCAGCGTTGTCGATGTTCTCGTCTCCCTCTCTCTTTATGCACTCTTTCAGCCCACCGTTTATTGACAAAAAGATCATCTACAAAACCAAAACTACGATAATGCCAGAACTAGTGCTCCAAAAGTAGTTAGGAAGTAACTAATTACTTATACCTTGCAGTGTAGGGAGCAGTAGAGCGAACCGTCTGTGATGTGGCACTGACACATGCGGCAGCAGTTGCCGCTGAGGTTCTGCTCTGAGGTTGGAGTTCGCTTTTCAATGAACACTACCTCAATCTCCTCATATGTATAAGACTGTAGACAAAAAATTAGAAATTTTAAATTAATTATTGATAACAGTGAATAAAATACAAATAAAATCAATTTACCAGAGTAATTCAATGTTACCTGAATGCCATCGGACAAGAAAATTTTGTCTAAATCTTCCACTCGAACAGCATTCTTGCTATCATAGCTCCGAATCTATTATGAAGAAAATAGGAATATAAACGTCCTTGTTTCTTTGGATCATTTAAATATAATTTTCTTTATATTTTAAATAAACTGAAAGAAGAAATTAACCTGAAAAAATTGATGTGTGTCATGGCCTGTACCATAGATACAGCCTTTGCAGAAGCTGGAGCAGCAATTTATACAAAAGACGTCTTTCTCGCTCTTGTTTTCATCTAATCCTCGATGCTCAATTGAGCAAGCATTGAAGAATTTCTCACTGCACAACTTATGAAGCCACAGTGGAGGAGTTTCTTGTGCCATCTGCAAATAATTAATTACACCAAAATTTTAGACGAAGTGTGACGAGTAATAAAACCAAACTTATTCATCAACCCATCAAAATTTCAGACCAAAGTGAGAAAGAATTTCATAAAGAAACTCTTAATTAGAAAAAAAGAGAACCCATCATTTTCCGTAAGTAAATTATCCAGTTTAATTCTAGAAAGACAAGTGTGACAAATGGAGAATTCTCTCTGCTAGAAAACCAAGTTTGTTCAAAGTAAACCCCATATAAGAGTATATTCACCAATGAACTCAAAAGAGACCGAACTCACCATTTCTCATAAAACAATCAACATATGAAACCAAATTGACAGAAGAATGATCAAGAAAATCCAAAAAGAAAAGAGACCCTCCATTCTTGTAAGCAGGTTCGATCCTGAAGAACCAAATATTTTCAGAACCCCACTTCTTGACTGCAATAATACTGTTCATCAAGAAATTTCAAAACATAAACAGAACTCACCATTGTAATAAGAAAGACAGTTTGATTCTAGGGAGGAAAAGAGTGGAGAATTCAAAAACCAAAACTTTTTCAGAAAACCCCATCAAGCTAAAAGAAAAAAATGAGAGAGAATTCACCAATAAATTCAAAAAAGAAAGAGAACCTACTGTTTAGTTTGTAAGCAAACAAGTTCAATCCTACAGAACCAAATCTTTTCAAAACCCATCAAAATCTTGACTGCAATCATAGTGTTCATCTAGGAATTCAAAATATAAACAGTGCTCACCATTCAATAACAAAGACAGTTTGATTCTAGGGAGGGAAAGACAAAAGAGTGAAGAATTCAAAAACCAAACTCTTTTCAGAAGCCCCATCAAAATTAAAATGAATGTGATAGAGAATTCACCAATAAATTCAAAAAGGAAAGAGAAAACACCATTTAGGTTGGAGCCATTTTATATAAACTCATCAAAATATTAGACCAAAATGACAGAATTCATCAAGAAACATAAACGATAAAGAGAACCTCCATTTTTAAAGAAAATTGGTTGAGAGTAGTCAGAATAATGAATTCTCTCTGGTAAAGTGCCAAACTTATTCATAAACTCATCAAGATTTCAGACCAAAATGAGAAGGACTCCATCAAGAAATTCTTAGAAGAAAAAGGAACCCATATTTTTCATGTGTGTAGAGAGAGAGAGAGAGAAGTATGAGAATGAATAACAAAGAGAATCCATCAATTTTCTTCAAGAAAACCCTAAAAAAAAGAGAGAACTCACCATTTCTGTAAAACCATCAAAAATATGAGACTAAAATGAGAAACAATCCGTAAGGTAGATCCTAGAAGAAAAGAACCCACCATTTTTATGTGTAACCCAGTTCAATTCTAGAGAGGGAGAAGTATGAGACTGGTTAACGGACTAAAATTACAATGTCCATCAAGAAATTCAAAGGAAAGAGAACGCACCATTTTTTTGAGGTGCAGTGCAATAAGGAGAGTGTTTCGGATTCAGGGAGAAGAAGAAAGTAGAGAGGATGGGAGGCCTTTATTCAGTTATAAACCAAAGTTTTAGAGAACCATCCAAATTTATACCAAAATGGCAAAAAAAATTGACCACCGAATTCAAAAAAGAACAAGAACCCACCATTTAGTGAGAAAGAAAGCAGCGTATGCAAAAGAGCTGACGACAAGGGTTTGGGGTTCTGTTGTCAAAAAATAAGCAGGAGAGAGTGGAAAAGCAGTTTGCAGTAAATAGTTTTATACATCCACCAAAGAAAAAGATGAGTCAGTATTTATTCAAGGTTTAAATCATGGAAGCAGTAGGGATTCAAGGTTAACTCATGGAAGCAGTAGGGACCTATTTGTTACATCTGTATCTTTCTTATCATGACACCAATAGTTTTCAGAAAATAATTTGAACCTGGAAAAGGTAAAGTAACATCATAATATATATTTTGCACAATTTTCATTCTTTTTTTTAAGAATTATTTTGCCCTCAGTATGCTGTTGTAACTTACCAATGCTTCACTTCAAAAGAGAGCACTCCTATTGTTAATCTATCTTCTAGCCTAAACTCACCATTTTTAATAAGAAAAACAGTTTGATTCTAGGAAGAAAGACTGCGGAGAATTCAAAAACCAAAATTTCAGATTAAAAAAACACTAAAAATTAAGACGAACACTAGAAAAAATCACCAATAAATTCAAGAAAGAAAGAGAAACCATTTACAGAGGATTCACCATTCTTAACCCATCAAAATATTAGATCAAAATGACAGAATTAATCAAGAAACTCAAAACAGAGAAACCCTTTTTTTAAAGAAAGTTGGTTGAGAGTGTGCAAGAATGGAGAACTCACTCAAGTAAAGAGACCAAACTTATTTTTTTAAAGAAAGTTGGTTGAGAGTGTGCAAGAATGGAGAACTCACTCAAGTAAAGAGACCAAACTTATTCATAAACCATCAAGATTTTAGACCAATGCAAGAATGGAGAACTCACTCAAGTAAAGAGACCAAACTTATTCATAAACCATCAAGATTTTAGACCAACTTGAAAAAGTATCCATCAAGTTCTTAGACGAAAAGAACCTATCATTTCATGCATGTGTAGAGGGAGAAGTATGGATATTGATTACAAAGAGGATCCATCAATTTTCTTCAAGAAACCCACAAAGCAGTGTTCATCGAGAACTCACCATTTATCATAAACCCACAGACCAAAATGAAAAAGTTCGTAAGGAAATTCTAAGAAGAGAACCCAGCATTTTTTATGTGTAGCCCAGATCAGTTCTAGAGAGGGTGACGTATGAGAATGGATAACTGACTAAAATCACAGTGTTCATCAAAAAATTCCAAAGATAAGAGAGCGTGTCATTTTTTATAAGCAAGACTGTTTGATTTTAAAGAGGGAAGGACAAAGTGATGGAGAGTGGAGAATTCACTCAATTGAAAACTAATCTTATTCAGAGAACCTAGCAAATTTTAGGCATAAATGACAAAGAATTCACCACTGAATTCAAAATAATAAAAGAGAACCAACCGTTTAGCGAGAGGAAACAGGCGTATTCAGAAGAACTGACCATGTTCCCAAAAAAGCAGGAGAGAATGGAAAGAGTTTGCAATAGATGGTCTTATTATATATCCACCAAAGAAAAAGATGAGTCAATTGAGTATTGAATGAAATTCGTATCTTTACCCTTAACTACCTGTAGTTTTTCAGAAAAATGTATTATATACTGAAAGCATCATATAATTAACATCATAAATTAGTTCTGCACTCTTTTCTTCATTTTTTGAAGAAATATTTTGCCCTATTAAGCTTTTATGTTCCGTAGCAAATGCTTTGTATTATTACGTAATTTTTTATGTTTTGAAATTCATTGTATGCATGTGTTGTGTCATACATGTTAACATTGATAAGTCCAAATTTTTTGATAAAATCATAACTCATCTGAATGTACATTGACAACTTTCTTATGGAAAGAAAAAAAATCGTCAAAACAATATAAAGTTTTGGTATTTTAGCATACATTCAAAAATCAACTATCTTCATTTACAAATTTTTGATTCTCTATCCAATCACTAAAGGATCCACGGACTTTGAGGACAAGAAGCTGACAAAAGAAACTAAAATACCTGCAAAATTCCTAAAACTTGATTGAAGACAGATAAATAAAACATTAGACGAGTAATGTTGTTTCTACTCAATGGTTTACTATTCACCATTGATTTGAGTGAACCATGATGAGGATCTGAATGTGATCATCTGACCTAAAAGAAAAACTGTGGGATAATAATTTGATGATTAAAACTACAGTTTGATGATTAAGGAATTATGACATAATACAAAAATTTAGTCTTACCATCACTTCACACTTGTGTCCAGGAGCAGCTGTGCCACACATCTGCAGTACCATCCCAGCCAATAACCGAAAAAGGTAACCAATTGACGGCAGCAGCGACGAGTCATGATCAAGACTATGAAATGGGGAGCGCAGCTGAAATAGCAGGAGATAATCTAAGCCATTTCCACCCACGAGGAGAATCTGAATTTTGAGCTTTAGTATAACTAATAGAGACATAAAACAAATTTAGCAAGGTATGTCAAGGGTTCAAAAGTCAGGTGTCTTCTGGGATCCTAAACCCAGGAAAGTAATGCATAAAGCCACTCAACATAGTAAGAGGATCATAGCACACTCAGGTAAACAATATCTGTCCAGTGACAGTGGAAAGTCATGCAAACAACCAATTAACAAAAATAAATTTATGAAAAGAAAATCCAAGTAATTAGACATCAAGTACAATTGGCCACAGAGTTAATGTGCATTAATCATGATAGTTCATCTTAGTAAATTTTACTTAAATTAAGATTCATATAAGCTCAAGAATCTTGATGGTACTCTAATGAACATTAGAAAGTGAAGACCTACAAGCCTCCAGCAAGATATTACACACAGACACACACAAAGAACAACAATTTTATGAATGCCGAAGTTTCAAAATAATTTTTGTAAGCTTAACAGTTGATAATCTAATTCAGACTACTTCCACTTATTTCAATCAAGCAATTTTCAAATATAGACTCAACTCTCTTCCAAATTTAATTCTCGCTTCAGTAAATGTCTAATCATTTCAGAAAATTTAAGCTAACCCACAACTAAAGAACAGCAGACTCAGAACCCGCAAGTCATATAGCTATTGCTTGTATACAAATAAACTAATTACAAAGCAACTAAGTTACTTTGTAGCAGTGGAGCTTGAATATTTTAGGGGGGAAAAAGGAACAGAATTCAATAACTTGTAGAAACTAAAAAATTATATGTATATATGTTATGATAAACTATAGTATGAACAAAACCCGCAATCAGATTTAACAAAAATCCAAACATTTCAAATTTATAGGGCTAACAATGCTAAATTAACATCTACATTTGCAAATTTGAGGCAGAGGACACATAACTAACATTGGAGCTAAATATCATCATCGAACCCATGAAGCACGATGGCAGCGGACTTGGACAACTGCAAAGAAGAATAAAATAAGGGAGAAAATGTTTTATTTTTTAGGATTTCTAACAACAAGAAAAAGGAAAAAAAGAAAAAAAAAAAGAAAAAGAAGAGTCTAAGAAAGAACACACCACTATGAAATTATTTGGCAAGCGTCAAATCATGGTGAAATAGAAATGGGGCCAAAGACGTGAAATTTTATTGTTGACTGAATTTCCCTCCCTCTTTCAGAATCTACCACTGTCTTCTGGATGTACTCGTCCGCCATTGTTGAAGCCCTATTATCCATCAAGAAGAGGGATCAGATTGCCGAAGCCCTAGGATCCTGAACGAGAAATTGAAGGCAAGAGGCAAGTTTAGGGTGGGATCATCTTTAGATAATCAATTACTGTCTTCTCCATCCCCAGATTGACTGTCATAACAAAAGGAGGCAAAAGTTAGCTGAAAGATGCAAAACATGGATTTGCGAGTATAAAATAAACTGTTATTGGCTTAAACTCCTACATAAAGTTGTTTCCCACACAAAAAAGAACATGAGAAAGAAATATATGCATTCAAGTGACATAGAACTATTCATGACTGCTGAATTTATTTACTGGTTTACCCTGTACAGCGAGCATAATTAGGACTTCTCTCCCTCTCATAAGAGGGTCCATCGTAGTGATCATAGACCGGGCTTCACCATCTATAAGGACTATCACGCCTCCCACATCTTGCTGCAATAGATAGGGGGAAGTTTGAGAGAATATAGAGCAACTCTCAAGTTAAGAAGCACCAAGAAACTATAGTTAAAACAATTCCCATCAACAATTTGAGGGCTGAACTAAATGTTGTGCGCGGCGGAAGCTTTCTAGGGCAACACGAACAATAACTCGAACTAAAACCACAAACAATATGCAAACCACAATCACAGCAAGAACACACAATTTACGTGGTTCGGCAAATTGCCTACGTCCACGGGGCAAGGAGGGGGGAGTTCTTCCACTAGAAATCAAGAGAATACAAATAGGGTTACAAATCTCTCAGACCAAACCCTAAAACAAAACTCTAGATCTCTCAAAGCTCTCTCCCTTATGGATGCAATGATTCTCTCTCTTTGGCTGCTCAAATTCGTCCAACCTCTACCCTAAACAAACAGGTTTAGGTATATATAGAACTTACAAAACGAACCGGGTCGAAAACCAGAAAAACTGATATCCGCTTCGTCGGTCGACCGGACCGGTCGACCGCGATCAATTCCGGTCGACCGGCCCGGTCGACCGATCACCATCCAGCAGAAGCCCCAAAAATCCAGAGAGCCGTCGGTCGTCCGCACCGGTCGACCGAAACATCTGCGGTCGACCGGGCCGGTCGACCGACCTCCTTCCAGACGCACAGGAACCCTTGTGCACGAATCCGGTCGACCGGACCGGTCGACCGCCGCCTGTTTTGCCTGATGCTGCTGCTGATGCTGAAATTCCTTCAATTCTCCACCTCGACGAATGTTTCCACCAAAACTGAGCCGACACCAAACCATCCAATAGTTCCTCAACAGGTCCAGGAACAATACTCGAGCTGAAACACGATCTCCCCCCATCTTGATCAACTGATCAAACCGGCTGCATCTAAAGACTGCCTACGTATCCTCTTGCCCAAGGAATCAAGCCGAACGTAGTTCACCCAAATGGCCGCCAACGGCCTCAGCACTGAAGGATGTTCAACAACTTCAAACAATGACCAAATTTCACTCCTGAAACAACTTTGGTCAACATATCTGCAGGGTTGTCATTTGTGTGGACCTTCTCTAATATGACATCTCCATCATCCAAGACGTCCCGTACAAAGTGGAATCTGACATCGATGTGCTTTGTGCGCGCATGATAAACCTGGTTCTTTGCCAAATAGATAGCCGACATACTATCACAATATATCTGAATAGTCTCCTAAGCAATCCCCAAGTCCTCCAATAATCCACGCAACCATAAAGCCTCCTTAATAGCTTCAGTAACTGCCATATACTCTGCCTCTGTAGTAGAGAGAGCCACTGTGGACTGAAGCGTGCAACGCCAACATACAGGTGCACCTGCCAAAGTAAAAGCATAACCTGACGTAGACCGGCGTTTGTCAAGATCTCCAGCATAATCTGAATCCACATAACCAATACAAGCCTGCCCGTCCTTCTCATCCTTCTGAAACACTAAACCAACATCCACGGTGCCTCGAACATACCGTAGAATCCACTTCACGGCCTCCCAGTGACCCTTCCCGGGGTCATGCATGTATCTCGATACCATGCTCACGGCCTGTGACAAATCTGGCCTCGTACACACCATCGCATACATCAAGCTACCTACTGCACTAGCATATGGGACCTTCGACATATAATCTCTGTCCTCAACTGAAACAGGTGACATCAACGCTGAAAGCTTGAAGTGGGGAGCCAATGGTGTGCTAACTGCTTTTGCATTGCCATCAAAGCTGAATTTCTTCAACATCTTCTGCAAGTAGCTCTTCTGTGTAAGCTTCAATTTCCCCTTCACCCTGTCTCGCTCGATCTCCATACCCAATATCTTCTTTGCCTCTCCAAGATCCTTCATCTCAAACTCGGATGATAACTCCTCTTTCAGCTTTCGAATAGCTGAAGAATTCCTGGAAGCAATAAGCATATCATCAACATATAAAAGCAAATATATGAGCTCACCATCCTGTAGCTTGTGCATATAAACACATGGGTCATATGGGCTCCTTGTGTACCCTCGGCCAATCATAAAGCCGTCGAATCTCTTATACCACTGTCTTGGTGACTGCTTCAAACCATAAAGAGACTTCTTCAGCTTACAAACCAAATTTTCCTTTCCTGCAGCTTTGAAACCCTGTGGTTGTGTCATGTAGATCTCCTCATCTAAATCACCGTGTAGAAAGGCTGTCTTCACATCCATCTGGACCAAATCCAAATCCAACTGTGCCACCAACGCCAATAAAATCCGAATCGACGAATGCTTCACAACGGGTGAAAATACCTCGTTGTAATCAATGCCCTCAAGCTGTGCATATCCCTTGGCAACTAATCTGGCTTTGAACCGAATGTCCCCAATAGAAGATCCCTCCTTCTTCGCATATACCCACTTGCAACCAATAGCTTTCTTACCCTTAGGTAGATGTGCAAGTGTCCAAGTGTCGTTCTTCTGAAGAGACCGCATCTCCTCCTCCATAGCTTCCCTCCACCTGATCGAATCGGGGCTAGACTCTGCCTCCCTGAATGTGGCTGGAACCATATCATCAACGACCTCCACTGATAATGCATATGCGACCATGACATCATTATACCTAGCTGGCCGACGAATCTCTCTCCTCGGTCTATCTGCTGCAATGGTCCTCTGAACATGACCCTGTTCCTGAGTCCCATGATCTACTGTATCCTGTATCTGCCCATCTGTCATCTCATCTCCTCCCAGTGTCACCTCTGTAGGAGCCTCAATGGATACAGTGTTCTCTGGAGTGGGTGGAGTCACATCATCCTCCACCTGCTGCGATATCTCTCCTGTCTGGTCTCCCTCCACCTGCTGAGGGGCTCGAGGCCTCATCATGTACGCCTCGTCAAATGTGACATCTCTGCTAATAACTATCTTCTTGTCCTGTGGATCCCATAACTTGAAGCCTTTGACTCCATCCCTAAATCCCACAAAGACTGCTTTCCTCGCTCTCGGATTTAATTTGCCATCACTGACATGATAATAAGCTGGACACCCGAATATCCGAAGCGACTCATAGTCACTAGCCACCGAACCAAACCAACGCTCCAAAGGAGTCTTCCCGTCTATCGCAGTGCACGGCAACCTGTTCACAAGATGGCTCGCATAAACCAACGCCTCGGCCCAAAAAGATCTAGGCAATCCACTCTGCGTCATCATACACCGCACCTTCTCCAGCAAGGTACGGTTCAATCTCTCAGCCACCCCGTTCTGTTGCGGTGTCTCTCGAACTGTGAAGTGTCTTCTAATGCCGTGATCCCGGCAAAACTGCAGAAACGGATCACTCTTGTACTCTCCACCGTTATCTGAACGTAGAGTCTTCACCTTTCTACCTGTCTGCAGCTCCACTTTCTTTTTCCACTCCACAAAAATATCCAGGACCTGATGTTTATGCTTCATCGGGTATACCCAATTCCTCCTGGAATAATCATCAATGAAAGTGACAAAATAGTTGGCCCCACCAAGAGATGTGTTCTTGGAAGGACCCCAAACGTCCGTGTGAATATAATCCAATGTACCTTGGGTGTTATGAACAGCGGTGCCGAACTTCACTCTAGTCTTCTTCCCAAGTACACAATGCTCACACAATTCCATCTTGCAGGTCTTAGCACCTTTCAATAGCCCCTGTTTAGCCAATGACTGTAGGGACTTATCTCCTGTGTGTCCAAGTCTCATGTGCCATAAGGTGGTAGTGTCCTCCTCTGTAGTGATAGAAGCTGCCAGACCCCCTGTAACTGTCTTGCCCTTCAAGTAGTATAGGTAGTTTTCCCTGACACCTCGCATCACCACCATAGAACCCTTCGTGACCTTCACTGTAGCATCCTCTAAGATCACTCGATATCCTGCTGCCTCCAAAGTCCCAAGAGAAATGATGTTCTTCGTCAACTGCGGCACGAACCTCACTTCCTTCAATTCCCTCACTACACCATCATGCATCCTGATCCGGACTGAACCAATACCACCAATAGGGCATACGTGATCATTACCCATAAGCACGACATCCCCTCTTTCCAGCTCCTCAAAGCTAGAAAACCACTCCCTCTTAGGGCAGATGTGATATGTAGCTCCCGAATCCATCATCCACTCCGTGGAATCCGCATAGCAAACCGACGGTAAAGCAGGGCATGAATAGCCTGAAGAATCTGAATCTGAATGCTCACCAATAGCTTTTGCAACATTCACTTCTGAAGCTTGTGCAGCTTTCCCCTTATTCTTTCCGGCTTTTTCTTTCCACTTTGGGCAGTCAATCTTCCAATGTCCTTCTTCTTTACAATACCGACATTGATTTCTACCAACACTCTTATAGGCACTCCTATTCTTTGACTTTGAGCGGTTAAACTGACGACGGTTTGGATCTCGGCCTCGAACTGCTAACGCATCTCCCGATGCCTTCTCGGAGGGTTCACCATCACTCTTCCTCAACTCATAGTTCACCAAAGCTGAGGTCACCTCCTTGTAGCTAACTGTAGTTCTTCCATTGATCATAGTGAGAACGAACGTACCATAATCATCTTCGGGCAACGAACACAGAAGTAGCATCGCCTTGTCTTCATCCTCAACTATAATATCAACATTGGCCATATCTGAAAGTAGCTTAGTGAAATTGTTGACATGCTCCCTGATGGAAACCCCTCTCTTCATCTTGAACTGGTAAAATCTCTTCTTCAAGTGAAGCCGATTCTCAATGCTCTTCGTAAGATATTTCTCATTGAGTGTTTCCCACATCTTCTTCGCCGACGTCTCGTTCATAACATCATAAATAAGATCCGGCGTCAAGCATGACCTAATAACACCACAAGCTCTACTGTTCATCTTTCTCCAAACCTTATCCTCCAACTCAGCGGGTTTCTCTTTTAACTCAAGAGTCTCCTCCAAATTCTGTGCATCCAAAGCATCCATCACCTGACACCTCCACAATCCAAAATTGATCTTGCCATCGAACTTCGGAACATCAATCTTCGTGTTATTGATGCTCAGACTCTGTATCGCCTTTGTTAGAGACGAACCTGACGTGCTTGCATCTCCCATGTTGTCGATCTAGCTCTGATACCAATTGTTGTGCGCGGCGGAAGCTTTCTAGGGCAACACGAACAATAACTCGAACTAAACCACAAACAATATGCAAACCACAATCACAGCAAGAACACACAATTTACGTGGTTCGGCAAGTTGCCTACGTCCACGGGGCAAGGAGGGGGGAGTTCTTTCTACTAGAAATCAAGAGAATACAAATAGGGTTACAAATCTCTCAGACCAAACCCTAAAACAAAGCTCTAGATCTCTCAAAGCTCTCTCACAATTGGATGCAATGATTCTCTCTCTTTGGCTGCTCAAATTCGTCCAACCTCTACCCTAAACAAACAGGTTTAGGTATATATAGAACTTACAAAACGAATCGGGTCGAAAACCTGAAAGCCCAGCCCAAAACAGCGTCGGTCGACCGGACCGGTCGACCGCGATCAATTCCGGTCGACCGGCCCGGTCGACCGATCACCATCCAGCGAAGCCCCAAAAATCCAGAGAGCCGTCGGTCGACCGGGCCGGTCGACCGACCTCCTTCCAGACGCACAGGAACCCTTGTGCACGAATCCGGTCGACCGGACCGGTCGACCGCCGCCTGTTTTTCCTGATTCTGCTGCTGATGCTGAAATTCCTTCACTAAATGTCATAATAGTTGGGTCTAAGTTACACGAACACAGACTCACCGACACAAATGCGGCACAATATGACAGACACACAGCTACTTATACGAGGAAGAAGAAGAAAATACACATGACGCAGCAAAGATGTGTCGGCTTCATAATAGAAGTCCATGCTTCCTACCTTGAGACGCATCGGGGGTATACGAGATTCTTTCTCGTTGGTCCAAGTCTAGTTCGCACAAACCCAGCATCTGACAGAACTGACAAAATATTGTTTTACATCAAAGGTTGAATCTGAAAGCATGTTCTAACTCACCGCATCTTCCATAGTTGCATGCTGTTCTTGTCATTTTAGGAAACTTCTCAGCTTTCAGGGTGCTGAGATAGATTCCCATTTTTAAGTCAGGTAAGCCTGAAATTTGAAAATAACCAACTTCACGACAATTAGAACTAAAGTCTGATGACAGATAAAATGTTAATTGGTGAGAAAAACGGGTAAGTTTTTTTTAAACAGTTAAAACAGTCAAGTTTTTTTTTAATGTTAATTGGTGAGAACTAAAATCAGTTGATGTGGTGACTCCACTAGAAACAACACAAAAATACATAGATAATATCATGACAATTAAAAGGTTAATAGCACGACACTAGATGGTATGATGGTACATTGAGCTGAATTTAGCATTATATACTAGAGATTTAAGCCCAACGAAACATTACATAGTGAAAAAAAAAAAAAAAAGATGATAAGGGATCCAATTTTCTCAAAAATTCAGATAAATCCCCGCTGGCATATGAACTGGCCAGCATGTTAAATGTGCAAAATTCGAAAATGGAAAAGGGTTGTATCTGCAAAAGCGCGCTGCTCAATCTCGAAATACGCCCATCCTCCGTTTGATCGCCTCGTCGGAGAGGGTGGCCATTGATGCAGACGAGGCGGGAGAGAACGTCGGAGGCTCGCTCGCGTCGGGATGCGTCGTGCAAGATCGCCGCTGAGATTAGGCGGGAGAGGAGGGAGGAGAGGCGATACGGAGTTAGGGCTTGCGTTTGAGGTTTTCTCAGGAAACCTCCTTAGTTTATGGGGATTTTCGGATAAATCCTCAAAGTAAAGGATGCCTTTCCATGTTTGTTATATCCACTTCCAAACAGTAATTTTAGGAGTTGGATTGCCGAAAATGCCCTTTTGATATTGAGGGTGTTTCTAGAATGGACTTGGCCTGTTTTGATTTGGGAGAAGGGCAATTTAGTCCTCACACACCCCAAAGTTACTGTTTAGAAGTGTGAATAGTTGGACCCATGGCTTTCTGATAAATCTGAAAGTTAAAGGGGGGATTTTCATATTTACCCCTAATTTAGTGCCAATTAGCGGGTGAAACTAAAAAGAAAGTCATTTCCCCCGTCATTTAATGGTTGAAAAATGCTATAAATTAAAATATAAAGTGAATCATGTCGTGACAACTTTTTTTAAGTTTATCTTTTTGGGGTTAATTTTAGAAAATTCCTCTCAACTATTTTAACTACAACAAACCCCCTCAAATTTGAGGGTGTTGTAGATAACTCCCCTCGACTTTTAAAATCCCTCCTAACTATGGGGTGCGTCACAAAGCTCTGCATATCTTACAATTTTTTAAAATAACCTCCTATTATCTTTAATTCAAAATGGCCAATGACTGAAATACTATGGGCTTTGGTGTTGGGTCTCGAGTTGATGAAGATCAAGCAGCAAGGGCTTCGTGCATTGGTTTTACTCATGAGAACGATACGAAAGGCTTGGGTTGTGTATTGATTTTACTCTGAAAAAAGATACATAGGATTTTGGTGTTCGTTGCCAAGTCGATGAAAATCGAACGTCAAGAACCTGCAAACAGATTAGCCAAAAAAGGCAAGCATCTCCTACTTCTAAAGTGGTGTTATGTTTATAATTTGTCGGGAGTACTTCCCAAATTACTTTGCCCTTTTTTGAACTGCTAAGACTTTTCTTTTAGCTTTTCGTTCTGCATTTTATTGGGCAGCATTCTTTTCTGTTGTCAACAAGCTTTTCACAGCGGGGTATTGGCTATCATAGTGTTAACTAGCAGTTAGTTGCTGATCACAGAGTAGGCGTGATAACTTATGTCAAGATGACTACTCCTACTCTGTAGGCTATGGGGTCCCTCCCGCGAAAGCTTCGTGGGCCACTCTGTCTTTCGTCCGCATCGTTTGTTGCTCGCGGTGGGAAAATAGTTTTCATGATCTGCTCTTCAAGCTTTCATCGTCGGTGTTCACTTTTCTCAGAGAGGATGACAGGTGACATAGGAAGTTGAGTGGATAAGTGCAACTGAGATCGATTGATTCTTGTTGGCCGATTTACCCGACATAGTTGGAGTTGATCGCTTTTCCATGATTTGAAATTGAAGACCAATCATTTCTCAAAAGGTAAAGAAGAAGCCCTACAGTGGGCACCAAACTATTGATGCTAGAAAGTTGAGTGTGTGATTTAGGGGAGTTAAACCTGATTTTCAGGATCCATTAATCACTTTTGATGGTTAATCTTCAATTGAGGATCTTGACCTATATTTCACTACACAAATGGCAGAGATTAGAGGTACCAGAGATTGTTTCCTTTGGCGTGTCCTCAAACGCTCAAGTCAGTGACTGTTTCTAGTTAATCCCAAGAGAAAAACATAGATAGTTTTGTTGACTTTTTATGTATAAAAATGTGTGCCTTCGTTTGGTATATTCACCATTGTTTATAGAGGTTTATAGGGCACGTCAGTAATTTTGGTGGAATGTGTGTGGTTCTGGTTTAGACCATACTTCACATGTGTTGGCAATCGATTGGCTGAGTCGCATTTTGTACAGTGATGAGACTGTTAGAGTAATAACATGTCTGAGGAGCTTTAAAGACTATGGTTTTAAAAGTCATTATGTCTCTGACGCCGCATTAATTGTTGATGGTGACTAGGCGGCTAAGTGTGGGCGATGAATGTTCATTCATAAAATGCAATATGACTTTTAATAACGCTTGTCAGGCTATTCCACTGTTCGAGACTCATTGTGTTGGGTCTAAGTGGAGAACGCCCTTCGTCTCGGAGTCGGATATCTAGTAGAATCTAAGTCGGAAGCGTCTTTCGTCACAGATTTGAATCGCGAGGCCAGTCGGCTGGCCATCACCCGGATTGTGCTTGCAGATGCTTTGGGAGTCGGCCAGCTAGCTTACCACGTAACTACTCTTATTAGGATCGGTAATTTCCAGGATATAAAAGTCAGGAAAAGGCGGACCAATGACACTAGCAGGTTAGATCTGATAGACCCTAGGGCGAAGAGGAGGAAATGAAAGAAAGAATGTGAAGAGGGGGACAATTTTAAATTTGTCTACATGAAGTTGTATGTAAGCAACTTAGTTTTAGGGACTTACGAGTTGCTGGGCTTTTAGAGCATCTCCAAGGGGCCGGAAAAATCCGGCCCCTTAGCTAAATTAAGGGAGATTTAAAGGAGATGTGGTCCAAGGGACCGGATAAAAAACCCCTTCACTTCATGTCCCTTAACTTCCTCACCAAATTAAGGGGAAGGTTAAAGTCCCTTAACCTTCCCCTTATAATTTTATATTAATATATATGTTTTTAGAATTAATTTATAGTTAATTAAATTTAGTTAATGTATAGTTAATTTAAAATAATATAATTAAGTTAATGTATAGTTAATTCAATTTGATTAATATTTTGTTCTAAATTACTTATTTGTTAAATTTTAATATGAATAATTAATTTAATGATTATATAAGGTAATTTCTTAATTTAAATTAATTAATTAATCATTTTTAGTTATTAATATTTAATTATTTATTCATTTATAAAAAAAACCACATATTTAATTAAATCATAATCTATAAAATTAAAAAACTAAATATAATTAATTAAGGGGTAGGGGACTTTTAAGGGGGAACCATTGGAGAAGAACCAACCCCTCCCTTAAAGTTCCCCTAGATTAAGGGACATCCAAAGGATCCCTTGGAGATGCTCTTAGAGCATTATCCTATAGTTTTGTTTTTGATCTTAAGCAAATGCACAATTTATTTTATTTTATTTACGGAGACTGTAGTAGAGCAGCTGTGGAACAGCGGAAGTATTGTTTTTGCTGGTTAATTTTCAACAGAATCTATCTTTTTTTATTTTTTCCGTTTAGTTATTTTAGTTGATTCTAGGAAGATATTATCAATATTCGATCCGGCAGCTATCTGTTCTAGCTTTGCCATTTTTGTTGATTTTCAGAAGTAATATTCTATAACTCGGTGCAAATCCAATATAATTTTAGGAAGACTAGTTAGTAAGATGTACTTTGCACGTGATGCATATTAAGTAATGATAAGAGACTAAAACATTCGAAGGTCATCTAATATTGCATTCACTATGACTTTTTTTAGAACAATAAAGATAACTCAAATAGAGCCCACAACCACCCACTTGCCATGAATTTATTGATATTTATTTTTAGTTTATCTCTCAACAAATTTGCATACTTGTATAACTAATAAATCGATTTTTTTTTTGTAAATTATAGGTAAAATCAGTCACAGATCTGTTTGTTTCCTCCAAGAAAAACAACATAATTTTCTCTTTCAATTATTGCTTGTGAGATCTTGTTGACTGTGATGTATCCTGGTTATTATAATTGAGGACCTGACTCCACTGTCAAAATTCTCACTACTTTTTTTTATTTTGATTTTTTAGTGTTTCATTTTGTGCAGTTGAGCATCCATATATAGCATAATTTTATGCAACTCTGGAGATCCAAGTTGAGTGTTTATGGAAGTAGATTAGTCAGTAAGAGAATATAAACGAATGCTTTAATTATGGGTTCATATCCTCACTAAAATTTATAGTAAAAGTAGGTTTTGAAGGGGAGATGTTATAAATTACTTTACTGGCTAGGATTTAATTATCACATCACAATAGTTTTTTCATGAAAAATTTAAGACATATCTAAACTAAACTAAAAACCCAAAAGCACAACAAAGAATGTGGATTAACGCTACTCATTATTAGACTTCAAAACAATGTGTAAAAATGATGGTGGGTCGTCGAGGCATACCAAAAAATCATTAATTTTTTAGCTCTTTTTAGCTCTTCGGACCAACACATCACCTTTACATTCTCCATTTAACAAACTACTTGAAAATCTCATTCCTCGAGTCATGTGCAACATCGATGAATATCATCCACAAAGTGTCCAAAAATCAAGTGTTGCTTTACACCATTACGGATATCTCTAATTACTGCATCCGCATCTTCTTTAAAAATTACCTTCCCACATCCATTGCCAAAGAGCAAATGTAAATAGCTTCTTGTTGTGCGCGGCGGAAGCTTTCTAGGGCAACACGAACAATAACTTGAACTAAACCACAAATAATATGCAAACCACAATCACAGCAAGAACAAGAATTTACGTGGTTCGGCAAGTTGCCTACGTCCACGGGGCAAGGAGGGGGGAGTTCTTTCTACTAGAAATCAAGAGAATACAAATAGGGTTACAAATCTCTCAGACTAAACCCTAAAACAAAACTCTAGATCTCTCAAAGCTCTCTCACAATTGGATGCAATGATTCTCTCTCTTTGGCTGCTCAAATTCGTCCAACATCTACCCTAAACAAACAGGTTTAGGTATATATAGAACTTACAAAACGAATCGGGTCGAAAACCTGAAAGCCCAGCCCAAAACAGCGTCGGTCGACCGGACCGGTCGACCGCGATCAATTCCGGTCGACCGGCCCGGTCGACCGACCAGCTCTCAGTAGAAAACCCAAACTCCAGAGAACCGTCGGTCGACCGCACCGGTCGACCGATCTCCTTCCAGACGCACAGGAAGCCTTGTACACGAATGCGGTCGACCGGACCGGTCGACCGCCGCCTGTTTTTCCTGATTCTGCTGCTGATGCTGAAATTCCTTCAATTCTCCACCTCGGCGAATGTTTCCACCAAAACTGAGCCGACACCAAACCATCCAATAGTTCCTCAACAGGTCCAGGAACAATACTCGAGCTGAAACACGATCTCCCCCCATCTTGATCAACTGATCAAACCGGCTGCATCTAAAGACTG